TCTATCACTCTCTGTCTCCCTCTATCATGGCATAAAAAAAATTTAAAAAAAATTAAAAAAAAAAAAACAACCCAAGAACTGAGGAAGAACCCCACTGGACCAAAACTGTTTCTCAAGAACAGAAATGAAAACAGTTATTTGGCTAAAATCTGGCCTGTAGACTTGTTTAATGTAGCTTAAACAAAGTTAATTTGGTGGTCGGAAATTCAAATTTTGGATTTGTCCTTAGAAAGAAAGAAGAAAGAGAGGGGGCAGCAGGTGGTATGGGGATTAAGATGCTGGACTCCCACATGGCTGACTGCTGTTCGAGTCCTGGACCTGGCGGCTTGAAAAACACACCAGGCGCATACATGCCCAAAATCCCAAGAGGTGAATGGAGGAGAAGGGATTGCGACATGGCCATCTCCCCTGGGGAAGTGATTTCTCATTTTTTCTCTCGTTGTCTCTCTGGAGAGTGCATGCACCCTATGGCCAAAACCTAAAAAAAAAAGAACAGAAAGAAAGAAAGAAAATACGAAAAGAAAGAAAGAACAGAAAAGCAAAGAAAGAAAGAGATAAAGATCCATCCCTGGCTTAACTTAGGAGCGGCAGCACAGGAGCTCATTCTCTCGTGTAGCCATGGCCGAAGCTGTGTGGAGGCTGGCCCTACAATATAGCCCATGCAGTCTCCAGTCAGTGCCCGCCATTTTGTTCATTTCTGTTGCCTGAGTGGCCCCTGCAAGCATGAGCGTTTAAGAACCTCTGTTCTTGGGAACCAGCAGTTAGCGTAATGGCTATGTCGCTGGACTCCCACGTAGTCGACCTCGGTTCGTGTCCCGGACCCGGTGGCTTAAAACTCATGCCGGGCGCGTGTGCGTGTGTGCCCAAGATCCCGAGAGGAGAATGGAGGAGAAGGGATTGTGGCGTGACCATCCCCCCTGGGGGGTGATTTCTCGCTTTCTGTCTCTATGTCTCTCTCTGTCTGTCTGGCGAGCGCACGCGCCCTACAGTGAAAATCTCTCCAAAAAAAAAAAAAAAAGAACCTAAAGAACCTCTGTTCTTAAATAATTCAATAATGAGAGAATGAGAAAGAGCAGCCAGTCCTGTGGTTTCCGGTTTGTCAGGCTGGCCCGTACAGTACTCACTTCACACAATCCCTCGTGATTATAATAGTCTGAATTGAACACTCCTCTCCTTCACCCTCGTATTAATATGCAGACATCCCTACATATCGGGTTTGATTCACCCAATTATCTGAGTCAAGAGTGAAGTTGTTGATGCTGGGTTAGCGGTGCACCTCGCTCACACGCCTCTCGCCCCCAGCCTGACAGACAGACTGTTTTTCCTGTGATATGCCACAAGGAATGAAAACACTACGCATAAAAATGTGCAAGGCTGACTGACAAGGCATCCCCGGATCACTTATTTAACTGGTGTATTCTCTCACAATAAGAGCATGGCGTCAATAGCCTTCATTTCCAAGTACAATGCACAGCTGCGAACGCCCCTGCCAACAGCGCCCACCGGCAGATCACATAATAGCAGCACTCCAGGAATGGATGCTGGGGAGTTTCCTAGCTGGAGCCTGATAAGAAAAGTCAGGAGCTTCATACTGAGCAGCCCAAGCTAAGGCCTTCCAAAGCCTGCCTATAGCTACAGAACTAGCAGAGTATAGCTGTCTGGTGGTCCCTTCCTCCTCAGTGCCATCTTTCCACCTATCCCACTGTCACCCCTACCTTCCATCCTTACAACCTCTTCCTCGAAATCCTCTACCTGCACATCCTCCCCAGCATGAGTCCCTTGAAGCTAAAGCCATTGGTGTTGTAGCCCCCTTCAGCACCTCTCACATAGTGGGTCTGCAGTCAAGCTTTGCTGAGCAGACCTGAACTGGGCTGCCTGTGACCACCTTGAAATGTCATGTGCTTGCCTGGGCATGGAGCTCTGACTGTAGTGTGAAAACATTGCAGGATAACATTGTCACGAGGCACAGGGAGTGTGCCAGAAACTTCTTGGCCCACGCAGATCAGGTGAATCTGTCGCTTTGAGTGACTGCGCAGAGCAGGGCTTCTCAGTCTCGGCCCCGTGGGTATTCTGGGCTGACTCATTCTTGGCTGTGTGTGTCGGAGGGGGCTGGCTGTACTGTCCATTGCAGGGCATTTAGCAGCATCTGGATTCCACCTTCCAGATGCCAGTAGCATTTTCCCAATTACGGCAGCCAGAATATCTCCAAACACTTCCAAGTGTTCCTAGGGAAAAGGGGGTGTACAAGCCAGTTCTGCTTGAGAAATTTGGTATGGACGGAAAGGCCTCGTGGTGGAGTCCTGACGAAGCCCTGTGGGATGACAGTTCTAAGGACTGAAACTGAGTTTTTCGGTCCTGAAATAATTTCCTCGCTGGGGAAACCATCGCAGCAGATCTGGTACTACTATTGTTGTACTCCATTTTTATCCAAAATTATTTCTCCCAAATGAACTCCATCACAAAAAGACAAAAAATCAGAAATATTAAGGCTGAGGGGTGGTACAGTGGCATAAGGTGACACTCTGCGTGGTTGACTCTCATGGACGAGTCCCCCATTCATACCCTGAGACCTCCCTGTGTACACCATGATGCATGTGTGTGCACGGAATCCACAGCTGGCTGAGGCTGGATGCAGACGGCAGCATCAGGACTCTGTCGGGGGTGCTGTCTCTCTCTCTCTCTCTCTCTCTCTCTCTCTCTGTTTCTCTCATGCTTGAAAGAAATAGATAAAATAAACTTTTAAAAAATCAGAAAGGCCAGGGCTGGCAGGTGGCATGGTGGTTAAGGGTGCTGGATTCCCACTTAGCTGACTGTGGTTTGAGTCCCTGACCTAGCGGCTTGCTTTCTCACTTTCTCTCTCACGCTCACTCTCTGTCCCTCTCTGGTCAAATTAAAATAAATAAATAAGTAAAGTTTAATAAAGTAATTCTTGTTTAAAAATCAGGACGATCAGTACGTCTGGGTCATCCCTTTACACTGTCTAGTTCTAGTGCACCATCAGACACATCATGTCTGACCTTTCCCATTCCCCAAGCCCCTGGCTGCGAGAGAAGACATTCTTCCCACCTATGCCTCTGGTGAGAGTCCTGTGTCTGCTTGAGTCATGTGACTAGAGAAGACTATTAAAGTGAAGGTTCATGGTTTGTAAATTCTAAGTGCTATACATACGTAAGGGGTATGGTAGGAAGGAGTTACCCCTTCACTATTTTGGGTAACTTGAACTTCCCAAGGAGGAGACATGGAGATGGGTGAATGTGTGTCTTTGTCTGTTATTGTGTTGCTAAGAGAAATATCTCAAACTGGTTGATTTAAAAAAAAAAAAAAGAGAGAGAGAGAAGTTTATTTGAGGCATATCCTGGTGGCAGGAAGGTCCAACGGTATAGAGCTGACTTCAGACCAGCCTACAATATGGCAAACAGGCACAGTGAGATGAACATGAGCAAAGAGAGAGGGCATTGCAGGCAGCTCTCTCTTCTATAGCAACTTGCTCTCTCAAGAACTAACCCCTTCTCATGAACTCTAGAACTTATTCGCCCTCTCATGAAACAGCATTAATCCATTCATGAGGCCAGTGCCTCCATGATTCAACCACCTCCTACTAGGATCAAATTCCAGGGACCAGCAGTTGGCGTAATGGCTATGTCGCTGGGCTCCCACGTAGTTGACCGTGGCTCGGGTCCCGGACCCGGTGGCTTAAACTCACACTGGGCGCATGTGCGTGCGTGCCCAAGATCCCAAGAGGAGAATGGAGGAGAAGGATAGCGGTGTGACCATCCCCCCTGGGGGGTGATTTCTCGCTTTCTGTCTCTCTGTCTCTCTCTGTCTGGCGAGTGCACGCGTCCTATAGCAAAAAAACTCTCAAAAAAAAAATCCAAAACATGAATCTTTGGGTGACAAAACATTATCCTAACCATATCTCTTTGTGCGTATGTGTGTGGGTGGGTGAGAGGGTGCAAGAAAAAGAGAGAGAGAGAGAGAGAATGCTGGAGGGGCTTAAGAATTAGAAAATAAGTTAGTAAGCTGAAGTCTTCCTAAAGGGTTGTGCCATTGCAGAATGATGGCTAGATGGATTGGTGACTGGATGAGTGGACAGGTAGATGAATGTGGTTGGATGAATGTTCGGGTGGATGGATAGATAGATGGTAGGCAGGTGGAGGGATGGATGGGTAGATGGAGGATGGGAAGGTGGAGGGATAGGTGATAGACAGATGGATAGCTGTATCATCATTTCTATCCTTGCATCTCTTACACCTGAGTCCAGACAGCCATGTATTCACCGAGTCCATTTGTTAGAAAGAAACCTATCTCGAAATAGTCCTTGCAGGAAGAGAAATGACGTATCTGCTGCTTTTGCAAACTTTCTACAATATTGGCACCCTTTTATAACAAAATATAATTAAATCCCACAAACATGTATTGAATACTGATTCTTTTAATTTTTTATTTATTATTATTATTTATTTTTTTGGAGAGGTTTTTGCTATAGGGAGCATGCGCTCGCCAGACAAACAGAGAGAGACGGAGAGACAGAAAGCAGGGGGGATGGCCACGTAGCAATCCCTTCTCCTCCATTCTCCTCTTGGGATCTTGGGCACGCACGCACACACGCCCGGTGTGAGTTTAAGCCACCGGGTCCAGGATTCAAGCCACGTTAGAGTACTTGGGAGTCCAGCGACATAGCCATTACGTTAACTGCTGGTCCCTGATTCTTTACATTACTTTAGCAAGTTATTGGATCTCTCCAAGTACATGGAGACACTCCTGTAGAGCTCCCTTTCCTCTGCCTCCCCCAAAGGAGCCTAAACATCTCTGATCCCCTTAGAATGGGATTGATTCTACTCATAGTGGAAACGTCCCAGAAGAGAGACTTCATTGTAGCTGTGAGAGAATAGGACATGTAATATTTACATACTTCTGTTGAAAGTCCTTTCTTTGTTGCGAAATTGTGCTGGCTGGTTTTTGATGTTTCTAAACAGAACATAGAGAGAAACATGCCCCACCTAATATGAAGGAGTTACGACTGGATGCTCCCAAAGGCAGTGCTCCAGGTTCTGGGTTAGACACTGTTTCTGCTCTCAAGGAGTTCCCATGTCATACAAGCAAGACCTATAAGAATAAATAATAATAATAGTAAAAGAAGAGAAATAAAAAAGGAAAAGTCACTTCAATTCAATGTGACAAGGGCTACAAAAAGGAGGTGACATTGTGAGTTGACCCTGGAAGACCTGGACAGACTCCAGACAGGAAAGCAGATCAGCCAAAGTCCAGAATCGGGAGGGGTGGGGTGGTCCTTAGAGGACCGAGTGAAAGGCTCACTCCAAATGGTCTGGCATGTCCTCACTTCTTCACGCCCCCAGTGGTGTTCTATTTGCGCCACTTCACAGACACATTAATAGCAGCAGCCAAGTGGGGAGGACTTTCTTGTGCCAGACACTGTTCTAAGTGAACTCATTCAGCCTCCCAGCACTACTCTGAGGTTGAGTATCATCAGTCTCATTTCTTAAGGGGAAAGTAGTTCCAGAGAGATAAAGTAAGATCTCTAGTTAGTGAGAGCCGAAGCTAAAATTCAAGGTCAAGTAGCCCAATTCCTTTTCCTACTTTTCAGCCTGAGTGGTACATTTTAAACAGTCGTAAATTCTTTGCAACTTCTCCTATTACAAGGTGGAACTTATTTTCCCACTTGTTTTTTATAGTTGCCCGATAAAATATTTTCCCACTTTTAAACCTGAGCTGGACTTATGACTCCTTTGACCAATAAAATATGATCCAATGGACACTGTGTGAGCTTTTTTTTTTTCTTTTTTTTTTTTTGTGGGGGAGAGAGGTTTTTGCTCTAGGGCACGTGCACTTGCCAGACAGACAGAGAGAGACAGAGAGACAGAAAGCAAGAAATCACCCCCCAGGGGCGGATGGCCACGCCACAATCCCTTCTCCTCCATTCTCCTCTTGGAATCTTGGGCATGCACGCATATGTGCCCGGCGTGAGTTTAAGCCACTGGGTTCGGGATGCGAACCACGGTCGACTACAAGGGAGTCCAGTGACATAGCCATTACGCTAACCGCTGGTCCCGACACTGTGTGAGCTTTGAACAGAAGCATAAAAGGAACTTCAGGCTCCAGTGGTGGCAGTGCTGGAGACCATGTGGTGGACCAGGGTTCAGTTCCCAGGTCAACCTGTACATGCTGATTGTATATAAAAAAGCCAGGATACTGGTGGGCAGGGAAGATTGGAGGGAGGATCATGGTGTGGGACCCTATGGAAGACACTTGTCTTTCTCCCCACCTGCCCCCAAACAGTCATAGAAGAAAGAGAGAGAAAGAGAGAGAGAAGAAAGAAAGAGAAGACAAGAAAGAAAAAGAAAGGAAGAAATGATAGTTTTAAAAACCAAGGTAGGGGAGCTTCACCTTCATTTCTTCCTATGCTGAAAGCACCTTCCTGTGTGAGAGTCTGAGCAGCCTTTCGGAGAAGAGGCCACATGAAAGAGAACGAAGAAGCCCAGCCAACAGCCAACCACCTGCTAGACATGTGCATGAGGCCATTTTAAATCACCCCCCATCAAGTGACCTGCTAGAGAGCCACAGGTACACAACAGGCCCCAGGGAGACCAGCCAAACCAGCTCAGGCCAGAATAACCCCTCAGCTGACCTATAGACTAGTGACCAGTGATAAGATGGTTGTTGTTGTAAGCCCCTAGCATGGGAGGTTGTTATGTGGCGGAAGCTGATTGATAGAGTCTACACTGCCTTTGTACTCTAAGACCTGTAAGAGCTGCTGTCAACTGACTCAGGCATACCCTCATCCCTACAAAGACAGAGGGGGTGGGTGGAAGTGCAGCAGTGATGCAATGCTCTGTGAGGTTGCTTTACCTGGGAAGGTTCTGGGTTCGCATCCAGAGACCTTTCTGAACACACAAAGTGTGCACGTGCCTGTGATCTGGGACTGGCTAAGGCTGGGTGCAGTGTGGTGTGAAGACCCTGTTGGGAGTGCTGTCTCTCTCTGACTTTCTACCTTTTCCTCTCCTTTTGTCTCTCAGAAGCTCATGAAAGGAAGGATTTTTTTAGAAAGAGGGAAAACAGAGAAGTGAAAGAAATTCTTGAAAGTCACGTGGTAATGGTCTAAATGTGAGGTTGACCAACTATGGCCCAGAGACTAAGTCTGGCCCACTGACTATTCTGTAAACAAGATTGTATTCAAACACAGTCCCACCCATTCATCTACATAGTGTCTAAGGCTGCTCTTGAACTACCACGGCAGAGCTGAGCCGTTGAGAACATGGGGCCTACAGAGCCTAAAATTTGCTAAGTGATCCCTTCTAGCAAAAGGTTGGTATTAAAGGCATTAAATTCAGATACTGGATTTAATAGTATAATGCTATGACAGTAGTGCATAGCATGAGGCCTTGAGGCCATTTTAAATCATCCATTTATAGTATAATGCTATGGCTATTTATAGTATAATGCTATGACAGTAGTTCTCAAAGTGAGGCCCCTAGACCGCGGAATTGGCTTCACTTGTTAGAAATGCAGTCCTGGGTCCTCATCCCAGATCTAAATCGGAAACACTGGGGGTGCGGACCAGCAACCTTGTTTTAAGAAACCTTTCAGGGGGTCAGCAGATGGCATAGTGGTTGTGTCGCTGGACTCCCACATGGCCAACCACAGTTCAAGTCTTGGATCCGGTAGCTTGAAAATCACACTGGGCACATGTACATGCATGCCCAGAATCCCAAGAGGAGAACAGAGGAGAAGGGATTATGTCATGGCCATCCCTCCTGGGGGGGATGATTTCTTGATTTCTGTCTCTCTGTCTCTTTCTGTCTCTCCAGCAAATGTGCACACCCTATGGTAAAAATCTCTCTCAAAAAAGAAAAAGAAAAAAAAAAAAAAAAGGAAATCTTTCTGGTGATTCTGATGCCCACTCCTTCAGGAAGACAATGAAAAACAACTCGTGTTTTCTTACAGAAATCTGGAGTGACTGTTGATTTCCATTTTGAAAACATTTCTTTTTACTCTCACTCCCAGCCTAAGGAGTAATAATTACCTACCAATCTTAGTTTGCTAATTTAATCTGCCCTCAGCAAGAGTACAGACTAGCAAAGAGTCGCTCAGTAAAGCACCTGCAGTCCCTCAAGAAGCCCAGCTCAACAGGAGGTGCAGGAGCGACCGGGGGCTGTGAAGAATGAAACCAGCCTTCTTCCTAGTTCCCTCCAAAATAAACGAAGCGCTTACGAAAAGGTGTGCAAGATACTGCTTGGAGTGCTCTTATGGTACAAAGCAGTCACAGTAAAACCAAGCTTAAACTGGAGTCCCAAGGTCTGGGTGAAATAACCAACTCATCTCCAAATTGCCTGGTTGTTCCCAGTTTGAACACTGAAGAAATTGTGTCGGGGAAACCCCACAGTCCTGGCTAACTGGGACAGAGCCAATGTCTGGGACTTACAAGGCCAGGCCTGCCTGAGAAAAGCCTGTTCAGGTAACACAGTGACCAGCCCCACCAGTGAGCACATGATGGTACCACGTGCAGGTGCAGAGCTGGAGGGTGGGCTCCAGGGTTCAGGGAGTCGTGGTCAGCGGTCAGTTAAGTACAAAGGCAGAGACCACTGTGGATGGAAATAACCAAGCTCTGCAGAAATAATCATTAATATGGGACCAGCAGATGGTGTAATGGTTACATCGCTTGACTCCCATGTAGTCAATCATGGTTTGAGACCCAGAATGGAGAGCTTAACTCACCCCAGGCGTGTATGCGTGTGTGCCCAAAATCCCAAGAGGAGAATGGAGAAGGGATCGTGGCATGGCCATCCTCCCTGGGGAGTAATTTCTCACTTTCTGTCTCTCTGTCTCTCTGGTGAGTGCACATGCCCTATAGCAAAAATCTGTCTAATAATAATAATAAATATGATTTATTAGTAAATACGTGTGATCAAGGCCTGGAAACACCAAAGTGCTTTGGGTGATTAAATGCACTGGTTCTTTTACTCAGTTCTAAGAGCAAAAAAAAAACCCACAAAAATCACAAATCAGGTGGTGGTGGCAGCGGCAGCACCTGCGTGGCCCCCTGTGCCTGCTCGCCCCCCGTGCCTGCGCGGCCGGGGCTCTGCTCCGCATTCTGCTGCCTCTCTGGGACTGGCATGTGGCCTCCAGGCCTGTGTGTAGGCCTGCGCCTACGCGTGGCCGCTGGACCAGCGCGTGGCCCCCGGGCCTGAGTGTGGCCGCCGGGCCTGCGCATGGCCCCTGGGCCTGCGCGTGGCCACCAGGCATGCGCCTGGGC